ATTAGATTTTCAAGATTTTTATTTTATTTATTTTTTCAACATTTTTTAGCTATCTGACATAGTCAGATGCAGCTTGTAGAATCGCATGATCGTGCGTCCGTCGGCCGTCAACAGTTGGGCACAAATCTTAACCGCTCGACGTACGGTCACAATATTCGGACGTGGGGGGTAATCCGAAAACGAGTTGGATGTTGAAGCTGGGGGTGCAAAGGTCAAAGGTCAGAGTGTAAAAGAAGGGCGGAACATTCCCTCCTTAACTTAAGGTATAGGGAGGAAATGCAGAATTGCGGCACAAATCTAAACGGCTCGACTCAGCTTAATTGTGATAGTGCGTGTATAGCATCATGGTAGGAAAAGCCATCACTGTGCCAAAATTGAGGTCACAGGTCAACAGGTCAATGGGGCACAGGGCAGATTTTAGACATTTTTCTGAGGACATGGGTCTGACGGAGCGGTTGAAAACTTTTTTGTTTCAGCGTGACCTAGCATTTTTATGGCTTATTGAAAGGACCATGAAATGTACTTTCTGCTGACATGCGAAGAGTAAGTGTCGGATAACCATTTGACCTCAAGAAGAGGGTTAAACATGGATTTGTTTAATGTTAGAAAGAATTTGACTGCTGGTTTGCTAGTAGAATCTATACATGCCTGGATGGATGAGGCTACAATGTCACAGTGAAATTTCAAAAGCTAAATTTTGTGAAGAAGGTTTATGCTCCTTAAATCATATAATTTCTATGGCATTCTGTACTGTCAGTGTGTTACATGTAACGTATGCCACTGCCATGGTACTGTGTAGTTTTTGCCTTGCGATTAATTAGTTACAGGTGGCAGCTCTCTATTTCAGCCTGTAGGCTTGCGTAGTAAATGGATGTGTGCTTACCTATTCTATCTTCGCAAATAGTTGTTGCTAACTACGTACGATGGGAGCTTCCATCTTTAATCTGAAGACACTTAAACGTACGCCGCATCTCGTGGCAACTTTCATAACGATCCTAACGAACATTTCTTGAGAATCCTTTTCAGAATCAGCACGTCTCGGAGGTGGTTCTGGCTGAAACAAAAATTTAAAAAGGTTAAACATTTAAAAAAAATTATTAATTTACTATTCGTCAATATATGGCGATGTGTACAGCTTAACATCTTGGATGACTGAATGATGCTTTCTACGCATAACGCCCCAGTGGTCAAATGGATAAACCATCGGTCTCCTAAACTGGGCATTTTGGATTCGAGTCCCACCTGGGGGAATCTTTTGTTTCTTTTTGTTACTTTTTGACTGTTTAGTATGTACTTCTGCCACTTCACCATTAATTTCAAAATTTTTACAATTTTACTACATTTAAAAGTTTAGTAAAAATCCAGAATAAACTATGATAATAATAGCGCAAATTGACGGGAAGACTTCAGGGAAGCCTATGTAGGTTACAAATCAAATATATTTTAATTATTTTTCCATGGTGGGCTGAAATTCACCAAATAAAATATAAAAAATGTAACAAATCTATATATATCAAGTTGTTCCATATAAAAACCATATAACCATATAACAACTAAGGGCATGATGCTACGAGAAAAGTGAATATTATATATCTGATTTTACCATGCACACGTGCTGGCAACCCGCCTGGCTCCACTTTGACTGTATGGAAATGGCCGAAGAAAATTATCTTAGCAGTCAACGGCGACCGATGTTCGAGGCCCAATTCCCAATCTAATACATATTTGTCAATGTGTGTATGTTTGTCTGTTCTCGATGCAAATCTATACGGAGCACTCTAGAAATGTCAAAGACGTTCAGTAGGGGTACATATTCGTGCTGAATGTCATGGGCACATTCGATTTGACCTCCGAGGTCATCTAAGCCAAAAAACGGAAAAATATACTGGCCCCTGCAGCAGCATTATATAAAGGCGCCCCTGCAGCAACACTAAATAAACGGGCCCCTGAAGCAGCACTAAATAAACAGTATTCACTTTGCACTGAATGCATTACTGTACAATGTGCGTTACATTGCGTTACTATACATGCATTATGTTACATCTGCCATGTCATGGTCGTAACAACATTCACCGTGAACTGACTTGATACAGAGTGTGCAAGACTATTTTTAATAGGTTAGATAGATATATAGATAGATATATAGAGGGACGTATTTTTGATAGGTTAGATAGATAGATTTCCCTGGCAACGCCGCGTGTCCTGCTAGTTGATAAATAAATCTTTAGGTAAAATATTTCTTATTTCTAAATTCTTATTTCAAAATGTTAATTATAGTCTCTGCATCTGTTTTTCTATCACGCTTTTTTCCTTTATTAATTTGATAAAAAAATATTTAGCAACCACACGCTGCTTGTGGACGATAGATAGATAGATATGTGCGTGTGACTGCACATGCTCATGCTTACCTCTCCCGTGCGTGGTGTCTCTAGGTACGACTCGGTCAGCGTGAACCTGGAGGAGGAGGGGGAGGAGGGCGGCGCACTGCCGCGCACCAAGAGCGGCTCCTCCGATCCTCTCGGCGTCTCCCGGCACGTGACGAAGCGCGCGGTTGCCACCGGCGACCCCCCCGCCACCCGTGCGACTCCGCCCGACGCCGGCGCCCCCTGCAGCACGGACCCCGGCCGCCAGGGGGCGCTGGCGAACGGGAGCATTCCCGGCGCAATATGGGAAGCGGGCGATGGCGGACTGCAGGGGGCGCCAGCGCTCACAAGCACGCCCGACACGAGCTTCGCCAGCGCCCCCTCCCTCGACACGTCGGCGGTCGTTGCCGCCAGCGACGACGACGACACCGCGTTTCTCACGGCGACGCTCGGCGCAACAGACGGCGGCTCCACCGCGTACGAGACGGCGGCGGCGGGTAGGCGCGCCGGCGCGGGCGTCCGGCTGGCATTGGGGACACGGTCGCATAGGCCAGCGGAAGACTGTCGGCGGCCTGTGGGGTGGCGCTGCCGCCGGGGATAGAGGGCGGCCGGCTGCGGCCGCGGTACGGGAGGTTGACGAACTTTCTCGCTGCCGATCGGTCACCGCCGAGAGTTGAGCCTGGATGCCGCAGTCGGTATAAGGCGAGGAGGCGAAAGTGGTGGAGGTGATGTAGGAGGAGGAGGAGGTGGAGGTGGAGTGAGGATGGGGAGATGGGGAGGGGTAGAAGTGAGGGGGGAGGTAAGGAGGTGGTTTTGGGAGAGGAGAAGAGGTGGAGGGGGAGGAGGAAGGAGGTGGAGGAGGTAGAGGAGATGAGGGGGGGGGGGGGGGGGGGGGGGGGGGGGGGGGGGGGGGGGGGGGTTGTGGGGGGAGGAGGGGGGTGGGGGAGGGGGGAGGTGAGGGGAGGGAAGGGAGGCGGGCGAGTGGTGGGATGGCAGGGCAGGGGGGGGGGGGGGGCAGAGGGGGGGGGGGAGAGGAAGGGAGGGGAGGGGGGGTGTATGGGGTGGGGTGGGGGGGTGGGGGGCCGCGGACAAGGGGAGAGGGGTGGGGAGAAGCGAGCGGGAGTGGGCAGGGAGGGGGAGAGTGTGGAGGAGGGGTGGGAGGGACGGGAGGAGGGAGGAGGAGGGCAGTGCATGGCGAGGGAGCGCACTGAAGGGGGAGGGGGTGTGTGGTGGGGTGTGGGCAAGGGGAGATGAAGAGGGAAGAAGAAGAGAGGCGGCTGCTACTGGGGTGAGCGAGGAGGAGAGGGTGGAGAAGCAGCATGGATGCGGAGCGCAGGAGGAGGTGTGGGGGGGGTGGGGGGAGGGGGGGCAAGGAGAGGCAGCATGCGGAGGAGCACAAGTGGGAGGGCAGGGAGGAGGGTAGAGGAGAGGAGCGTGTTGGTCTGGTTGTTGTGTGAGGGGAGGGGTGGAGGGGCGGGGGAGGGGGAGGAGGAGGCAATGGGAGGAGCACAAGGGGGAGGTAGAGGGAGGAGGACAGGGGGAGGAGAAGAATGAAGAGAGAGGGTGGCATATGGGGAGCGACAGGAGGAGGGGGTGGAGAGCCGCAGCGTTGCCGGGAGGAGGGGAGAGTCGGTGAGGAGGAGGTGGAGGAGGGGGAGGGAAGGAGGAGGCGGCCATGGGAGGAAGCAACAAGGGGGGGAGGCAGAGGAGGCGTGCGAAGGAGAGAGAGAGCGCTGACCTACTGGGGGAGCGACAAGGTGGAAGGGAGGTGGGGGGCGGGGAGGAGAGGAGGAGGCAGGCCATGGAGGAGCAACAGGGGGAGGAGGTAGAGAGGAAGGGGAGAGAGATGGCAGGAGAGAAGAAGAGGAGCGGCTGGTTGGGGGAGGCAAGGAGGAGGAGGTGGGAGCAGGGTGCACGGGAGGCAGGGGAGGGGGGTGGTGGAGGAGGAGGTGGAGGGGACGGGGGAGGAAGAAGGAGGGGCAGGGCCTGGAGAGCACAAGGGGGGGAAGGGTGGAGGAGGAGGAGAGAGAAGAGAGAGTGGATGGTACGGGGGAGAGCGAAGGAGGAGGGGTGGATAGCAGC